GTATTTGAATGGTTTAAGTGAAATGTGGGGTCATTTAAAAAAAACCTCCACACATCACTTTTGGCCACTGTTGTGTTTGGTGGAATTAGTGCCACAATATTTAAGACCCTGCTTACTGTGTCATCACCGGTGCATTGCTGCATTTTTCCAATTTTCCAGCCAAAAAATTGTACTACTTTCATTTCTGCAGTTAGAGCATTGATTTGTAGAGTGGAAGAAGTAATTACATTTCTTACTTGGTCAGTTATAAAAAGAATTGACTATCTTGGCGATCAAGTTTGTATCATTTTATCAACATATAACTCCAATAAGGCATGTCTTCGTTGGAAAATGTGTCTCCTCCTTTTGCTGCCATCTTGTTACTCCTAACTAGGTTAGGAGACCTCTCCAGCTCTCTTAAATCATTTAGGAGCTGAGACCTAGTCTTAACACTTAGGAACCTTTATGAATCACACTTACAGTATTCTTAAGTCTAGGAATAGGAGTAAAATTATGTCATTCTAAGAATTTTGACACACTTAAGACTACAATTTTACTCTGAGCAGCTTTATACATACGGCCCCCTGGTCCCTCTAATCAATTCTAAAAGCTCTAACAAAAAGGTACAAAATCTAGAGTTCCACAGATGGGGAAGATTTAATGTGCATTGGGAGAGGGTTCCATAATCGAGGAGCAGCCACTGCGAAAGCCCTATCACCCTTTGATTTTAATCTAGTTTTGGGAACATGAAGAATCATCTGATTCGAAGATCTCAAGTTTTTTAAATTTTGATAAGGAATCAATAGGTCAACAATATATTTTGGAGCAATGCCATGCAACGCTTTAAAAACCATCAGCAAAACCTTAAATTCAATTCTAAATTCTACAGGCAACCAGTGTAAAGAAACCAAAACTGGAGTAATTCTCTCTCTCTCTTCTTTGTGTGAGTCCAAAGTCTGGCAGCAGCATTTTGTACTAGTTGAAGACGAGATAATTGACCCTGTGAAATACCTATATATACAGAATTACAGTAATCGATGCGTGATGACACAAAGGCATGAATAATAGTCTCCAGATCCTTAAAAGAGAGAAATGTTTTCAGTTTAGAAATAATTCTGAGTTGATAAAAGGCAGCCTTCACAACACTAGTAACCTGTTTATCTAAAAGTAAGGCTGAATCCATTATAACACCCAAATTCTTAACATGATCTGAAACACTTATCTTCACAGCGGCCAAATAATTTCCTTGGAAGCAGAAGAAGGTCCAGATACAACACACTCAGTCTTATTAGTATTAAGAGTATTAGTATTAAGTATTAGTATTAAGTAAAGCCCTCACTCATCAGCAACCAGGGGAGTCCTGGCAAGTGGAACATTCATGTCCCCATATCTTAGCCCCCATACTCTCCTGCCTGTTCAGTGCTATTTGACTCAGAAACATTGTGACATTCCATGCTAAGTGGGCAATCAAGAATGGCATTCCCATTCAAGTCCCCAGCACCCATTCCCTTAATGCAGGGGTGCTCAAACTCGGTCCTGGAGGGCCGGTGTCCTGCAGAGTTTAGCTCCAACTTGCCTCAACATACCTGCTGGTAAGTTTCTAGTATGCCTATAAGAGCTTGATTAGCTGGTTCAGGTGTGTTTAATTGGGGTTGGAGCTAAACTCTGCAGGACACCGGCCCTCCAGGACCGAGGTTGGGCACCCCTGCCTTAATGGTTGTGAGCTGGCCACCATCATTGCATCACAGCTCCGAGGAATTTCATTATCAGGCAACCACAGGGAGGACCTAGTGTTCATCCTGTCTGACTTAACGGTGGCTTCAGAATCCTGGATCATAGTCCTGCCCCCTCTCCTGTCTGTCTCTGTTTTACAGGAGGAGGTTGCGGATTTGTCCAGAGTCCCAGCAGTGTACCACAATCTGTGGTTGGTCTTGAGCCACCTCCAACTCCAAAACTGACCATATGACTGTGCCATTGATCTCCTCCCAAGCACTTCTCTGCATCAAGGTAATCTATTCCTTGTCAGCTCTCAAACAAATGGCTATGGAGAAGTATATGTCTCTAATCTCTGGCAGTCAGCATCATCCATCTCTCATTGTCTCCAGCTTGGGCAGGGTTCCTCTTCATGAAAAAGAAGGATGGATCTGTGTGTCACAGCATTGAATATCGGGGGCTGAATGACATAACCATTAAAGGGGACATAACACACACAGTTTCTGCCAATCTCATGTAATTTTGAGTACCTATAAAGTAGCATTGCATCCTTCATATCTCCGAAGAGTCATTACTTTGATCAGATTTACAAAATACAGACACAGCTGTACCAATTCTCTACGCATACGTGCTACATCATCCTCCGTAATGGCAACGGAGCCATGTGAGGCAGGTTTTATTATGGATGGATGTGCTTTATTTGACTACTTTTGGACTGTTGAAAAAAACATCCGCCCACTGCCATTATAAAGCTTGGAAGACCAAGGAAGGACAATTTTTAATATCACTCCGACTGGATTCATCTGAAAGAAGAAAGTCATATACACCTAGAATGCCTTGAGGGTGAGTAAAACATGGGCTAATTTTCATTTTTGGGTGAACAAAACCTTTAAGTCGAAAGTTAAATTAAGTTTTAAGGGTAAGGTCCCAGACAAACTGTTGTATAAAGCTATTTTTAAAACAAAATTTCTGACATAATATTAAGTGAATGAATATGTCTGTTTTTGCTCAGTTTTGCAAATTTTTCATAATAAAGCCACAGCAAGACCACTGAATGAATTATTGACTGACTAATGATATGCTGCCACACACTGGTGGTTTTAGTTTCATATTTCATTTAATTTTTTCCCATCATTTCAAATTTTTTATTTACAAAATGTGTCACATCTGCATTGCAAAGATGTCGATTCTGCTTTCAGCGATTTGTAAGAGCCTATGCACTGCACTTGTTAAGTCATGACATGTATTCAATACTGTATCTAAGTCCAAGTTCAAAAAAGAATACCATCTCAACAGCCATTTTATTTATTTATGAAACCATTTATTTAGCACTATTTATTTATAGCACACTCAGTTATAGCACAAACAATTCACACTGACTTCAGGTGACTTAAATTTAGATTTAACCTTGAATAACCCTTTACATCAGGATTGTTTGTCACGTTATAAATATTAACACACAGACAGCCTATAATCTCAGAAGTTCATGTTTTAACATGTTTTCAGAAGCCTGGTGCTGGGGTTTATCAACTAAACAACCTATATTTTGTTACTGTAGTGTCATATTTTGTGCCTAAATTCTCCATGTTTTCTATGTATCAAATCTAGATTATTTAATCAGGTGGTGCTTACTTTTAAAACCAGATTAGGCCCTTAGACATCTAGCGTAGCTTTAGTTCTGGCAGGTCACGTTAGTCAAGCTCGCATCCGCTGACCTTCAGCTGATCCCCATCTACCTATAGGAATACAACACCTATCTAAGCATTCATATACGAGGTCCCTCAGTAGTATCAGCAGGTTTCGCATTGCTCAATAGCTAATTACCCTCCTCCATCCCCAGCTCCTCCTCTGTCAGTCAGGATTCAGCCTTCTGATTCTCCTTGAATCAGACTAATTCTAAATGTGTACATAAAATGATTGAACTTTAACAGTATCTGCAATACATTTATGTAGGTTATGTTCTGTTTATCCTGGGGGGATTATTGCTGCTCTCATCCATGCTAGGCTGCATGGAGGCGCAGGGAGTTCTTGCCCAGAACAGAACCATACCGCTAATCCAAACTGTATGCTAAGTGTCAATCATCTTTGACGATAGTGGTCCTGACAGAATTAGTCTTAGGCCCTTAATCTTAAAAAAATCTGAGGAAACACAAATATTGCCTCATTATCCATAGGTCACATTGTTAAAGAGAGATTGAATCAAGTGAAGAGGGAGTCAGTGTGTGTGTGTGTGTGTTTGTGTTAGACAGTGAATGGGAAGTGCTGCTGTGTCTGTATGTGTGCAGTGAATGGGCAGAGCTGTGTTGCTGTGCCTGTGTTGTACAGTTCGTACGGTAACTGAGGAAACACCAAGAGCAGTCTGTCCGGCCCCGCTGCCTGACAGCCCCAGCCCAAATTCAACGATTCATCCGATGGCGTTTGAGAAACGAAGAGCAATTCCACTCGCAAGCGGTTTGATTGGCGGCAGCGATTCCAAGCCGTGTTTTCTTGATCCGAAAATGAAGTTGAGCTCCAGCTTTCCTCAGTCTCCAGCCACAGCCGATGCATTTCTTCTGTCGCTTCCCCATATCGGCCGAGCCGATGCAGCACTTCCCTGTGATGCGGTAAGAGCAGCCGCAGCCTCTGTGTGTCTCTCTATTTACTTACTGCTTTATGAGGACATTAAGTGGCTGTTATTTAGTATTAAGACGCCACTTTAAGTGTCATTTCTCAAGGAGACATCCGCGGTTACATAATAGCCTGTGTAGTGAGGCAGAACACACTTTATTTCATTCAGAAAATGCGGCTACAGCACGGTTAAGATCCAATCGATGCTGCTGTATGTTATCAGAAATACATCTGGTTTTACATGGCAGATACAAAAGCTACTGCTGTAGTGTTTTCTGTGACTGCAAACGGGATAGGCAATATCATCCTTCAGTATCATTCGAGTGTCCAAAAAAAAAGTAATTTGTGTCAGTGGTTTTAGTTAATTTGTCCATTACACATAGCCTGCGTTTTAACTGAATTATGTCAAATATATTTTAATTGGTAAAAAAAAATATATATTAGGCTACTTTATTTGATATTTTTAATATTACATTATTTTAGTACATTTACCTATTTTATTTTTTATATTTTTAAGTTGTTTTAATAATATCTAATCACTATAGCCCAAATAATAAATTCTAAAATAAAACGAGTAAATAAATAAATAAATGGTTTAAGTGACCACCCTTTGGAAGTTCGACCTTACTATCTTTACTAGCAAATATCGTACATCATTAGGTAACACTGTGGCAGCTCTTGAAAGGCGTAACGCTTCAGATTGTGCTCTAGTTTTGAGTGAGATGGATAGTTTTCATCAGTCATCGGACGGAGTTTAAGAAGATGCTCCTTACCCATTTAGGATTAGAATATTAGTGGAATAACACTGCATTAATATGAGAAGGTCTTGGTTCAGTAATAGAGGAAGAGTACATTCCGTTTCCTTGGAAACCAAAGGCTGTGCTGCTATACGAGCAAGCTCCATTTTCAAGACACGAGGTAATAATACACCAGTATCTGTTACATAACTTAATATTATTCGTATTCAACTGAATGTAGGCTCTTTCCGATCGACATAATCTAGAGCTGAGAATGCTTATGCCTGCACTATTGTGATTGCGATGGTGTAGGCCTATTTACAGAATTGAAGGTGAAGTAACGTTAGTGGATTTTTGATAATGCGCTCGTGATTGAATCAATATTTCTGTCACGTGAGTGTGTATCAACTGCCGGAACTGTTGATGGACTAATGCACCCATATTGATTAAATGTGGCATATACCTACGTTTATGACCATTAGCTATCTGATTATGTGTGGGGCTTAAGCATCAAAACAATACAAGTTTAATACTGCTTTATTTTTATTTCTTTATGTTTGTCAGAATTTATAATCATTTAAATAAAATGTTGTATGATCACTTTTTCTTTTATATATTTTAATAAGTACAGGTCAGAGAAGCCTCAGTATGTTGTTCATTTTGACATAAATATACCTGTTATGATGAATGAAGATGGAACTCATATTTACTCATATTTTGATTATCCCCCCCCCACACACACACACATATATATGCATACTATTAATACATTAATTATTTTATCTTATTAAATAATAATAATAATTGGTTTGGAAAAACATGAGGATGACTAAATGATGACAGATTTTTGATTTTTGGATGGACTATCCTTTTAAGTTTTCTGCTTTGAGTAGAGTTGTGTAATGCGTGACGCACTATACACTTCATGCAGTATTTATTCAACCACCTAGTGTATGAATTATATAATACTATTTTGTCATCCAACGTCAGAGTCTGATAGCCCCGCCCCCTCCAGTACGTAATTTCTAGTGCACTTTTTATTTTCTGAATTTTTGGTGTGAACCATAGGGTGTGAACACACTACTCTTACTATTTATACTCAAAATGGCACAGAATAGTGCATAAGTAAGCATATTGGGATGCACTAGTTTAATGGAACACATCTGTTACAGGATAAATTCAGGGGGACAAACAACAACAACAACAAAAAAAACAATGGCAACATCTCATCCCAGCTGCACTTTATCATTAGAATCTGTTCCTCTGTTTTTGGGATCACCCAGCTGGTAACCCCATCAGCTTTTTTACCTCTAGTGACGTCGTAAGCTTTGTGATGGTGAAGCTGGTAACAGCTTTGAGCTTAATTAAAAATTCTATCACTCACCATGACAGGAATAATTCACTTAAAACGAATACTTCATCATTTACTCACCCCAATGTCGTTACAAACTGCATAACTTTTTTCTTCTGTGGAAAACAAAACATTATTTTTTGAAGAATATCATGTGCACTTTCAATATACTGAAAGTAAATGAGGTCTGTTTTTCTATTGAAGTTACACTGCCTTAATGACCAAACTCAATTTATGGGATGTTTTTGAACAACTGTATGCCTATTTGTGTTGGTGCAAGTGATTAATTTATTTGCATGGAAGTTAAACATTTAGTACACAACTGAAATGGGACCGGTGTACCTTAGGGCTCTGACGCCTCATTAGATGCCATTGGCATCGATACAGAGACAGTAGGGCTGTCGTTCCTTTATTAATTTCATGTGTTGCCGTTCTAATTGCTCAGCCCAGCTGGTAACCCCATCAGCTTTTTTACCTCTAGTGACGTCGTAAGCTTTGTGATGGTGAAGCTGGTAACAGCTTTGAGCTTAATTAAAAATTCTATCACTCACCATGACAGGAATAATTCACTTAAAACGAATACTTCATCATTTACTCACCCCAATGTCGTTACAAACTGCATAACTTTTTTCTTCTGTGGAAAACAAAACATTATTTTTTGAAGAATATCATGTGCACTTTCAATATACTGAAAGTAAATGAGGTCTGTTTTTCTATTGAAGTTACACTGCCTTAATGACCAAACTCAATTTATGGGATGTTTTTGAACAACTGTATGCCTATTTGTGTTGGTGCAAGTGATTAATTTATTTGCATGGAAGTTAAACATTTAGTACACAACTGAAATGGGACCGGTGTACCTTAGGGCTCTGACGCCTCATTAGATGTCATTGGCATCGATACAGAGACAGTAGGGCTGTCGTTCCTTTATTAATTTCATGTGTTGCCGTTCTAATTGCTCAACATGTTGAATCAGGTCTGTTTGAAACTCCACAATTACAGAGATCACTTTTAAAAGGGTGAATGGAGGAAGTCGGGATGTGAGAATAACTGAGAATTTGCTTATGACAGTCATGGGATTGGAATTTTTTTATGTGCCACATTCTTAGAAATTTAATTTTTGTTTTCCTGTTTTGGTCAAGAAAATGTTCAGTTTAATGACTAGTAATTTCATGTGTTATAAAAAAGTAATAACATAATTCTTCTTGGACCTGCAATGCATTTGAGTGAAGACATATTAATTATTATTGTAAATAAAAGTTTACCTTTTTTATTTTTTATATGTCATGAATTTGAAATCATAAATATTCTCATCTTTTTGAACTAAAAATATCTAAATATATTCATCATAGAAAGGCCATTGTGTCTGTGAATTGCTTATATATATATTATTTATTTATTTATTCATTCATTCATTCATTTAGATAGATAGATAGATAGATAGATAGACAAAAATGGCATCATGCCACTGACCCATTTATCAATAATGCAATAATCAACCAATACTCACATGTCTATGTCTTTGTGCATTTGTAGTAGTGGCTTGGCAATATTTTTTTTCTTCCATATTGAGGGTCCCATTTATTTGCTTCGAATAATTATATATACAGTGGTGTGAAAAAGTGTTGGCCCCCTTCCTGTTTTGTTAATTTTTTGCATATTTGTCACACTTAAAAGATTCAGATCATCAAACAAATTTTAATATTACACAAAGACAAACACTTTTTCACACCACCGTGTATATATATATATATATATATATATATATATATATAATTTCTCTCTCTCTTTATTACATTTGTATTGTTTGTGTGTGTGTGTGTGTGTGTGTGTGTGAAAGGCACCATTTTATGGATTCTGACATGGACTATGAGAGGCCAAATGTCGAGACTATCAAGTGTGTGGTGGTTGGAGACAATGCAGTTGGAAAGACCCGTCTTATCTGTGCCCGGGCCTGTAACGCAACGCTTACACAATACCAGCTACTTGCCACACATGTGCCCACTGTCTGGGCAATAGATCAGTACAGAGTCTGCCAGGAGGTGAGGAATGCCTGCTGCCATATTCTTATTCATAAAATAAATATATGAAAGAAATGATGATGCAATGTGTGATGGTAGCTACTTTCGATAATTTCCCTGATAAGTAATCTGATAAAATGTTGAAAAATGTGTCATACTCAGTTTCTCGGGTAAATCTCCATGCATGTGATAGGTGTGTTTCTCCGGCCAGGTTCTAGAAAGGTCCAGGGATGTGGTGGATGATGTCAGCGTGTCCTTGCGTCTCTGGGACACTTTCGGTGACCATCACAAGGACCGCAGATTTGCGTATGGCAGGTGAACGTCTCGGTTACATATGTAACCCTCGTTCCCTGAAGGAGGGAACAGAGACATCACGTCGTGACCGACGAATTGGGATCTCGCTTCGAGAGACCAATCTACTTTGAGTGTAACTAAACGAGCCAATGCACATTGGCATGCAATTATTGCATCCAGCTACCGCTGATCACAGCGTGAGCATAAAAAGGCAGCCAAAAAAGTGCAAATGGTGCAATGCATACCAGGTTTTCGCTGAGGAGCCGAGCCGGTGATCCGGCCGCTCAGCGGTGGTACAGCAGCCATGGCGACGGGACGTGACATCTCAGTTCCCTCCTTCAGGGAACGAGGGTTACATACGTAACTGAGATGTTCCCTTTCAGTCGGTCACTATGGGTCATGTCATGACCGACGAATTGGGATTCCCTACCGAAGCGCCATGGATGCTGCCCCTTCCAGTGCCCTATGCAAGCCACCTGCGCCCCTTTTTGGTGTAGGCCGGGGCTCGCAATAAGAAGGCCATTCACCATTGTCATAACACTACCCTCTCAGTGAGATTGGATAACACTGGGTAAACGTACCTGTTCCACTTGGACACTAACCGGGGCCTCTCAGTGCCAGTATCCACTAGTTCGGGGAACCAGGTCCGAGTAGGCCAATATAGCGCCACAAGCAGGACCTGCTCCTCGTCCTCCCTGACCTTGCACAGCTTCTGTGCAAGAAGGCTCACTGGGGAGAAACCAAAGGAGGAGGTGGCGGGCGAGTTGCGACCGGAGCGCAGAATCCACAGTAGGAAACCGGCTCCACACGAAGGCTATAGAATCTAGCGAACGTGTTGGGGGTCGCCCAGCCCGCAGCTTTACAAATACCTGTCAGCGAGGTGCCACGAGCCAGCGCCCAGGAGGATGCAACACTCCTAGTAGAGTGAGCTCACAACCTGTGTGGGCAGGGCACACCCTGTACCTGATAGGCCAGGACGATGGCATCCACAATCCAGTGGGCCATCCTCTGCTTAGAGACGGTCTTCCCCTTCTGCCGGCCTCCGTAACAGACAAAGAGCTGGTGCAATAGCCCTAGCGGTTTAAGTGCCGCTGCAGCTGCCATATGCCCCAGGAGCCTCTGAAAGTTTCAGTGGGACTGCTGTCCTGGCCTTGAACGAATTCAAGCAGGTCAGCACCGACCACGCACGTTCCTCTGTTCGACCGAATCCAACTCCGTACCGAGAAAATATCCTCTGCGTCGGGGAGAGTTTGCTCTTTTCCCAATTGACCCGAAGACCCAACAGTCAGAGGCGCTGGAGCACCAGGTTCCTGTGCTCGCACAACTGAGCTCGATACTGTGCTAGTATAAGCCCATCATCGAGATAGTTGAGGATGCGGACATTCTGCTCTCTGAGGGGAACAAGAGTCCCCTCCCTGACTTTCGTGAAGACACAGGGAGACAGGAACAGCCCGAAGGGCAGGACCTTGTATTGGTATGTCCGTCCTTCACCGGTGGTGGAGGCTTCCATGTAAACCACAGCATGCCTGGAGACCTGTTCTAGGGGCACTCCTGACCGAAGGAACGTAAGATCTGACCACGGGGGGAAGGTTTGGTGACAGGCGGCTGTAACTTGAACCCGGTGAGTGCTGCGCTGCCACGCCCACCTCGGGAATCGGCCATGAATCCAGTGCTGAAGCGGTCTCATATGCAATAGCCCTAGCGGTTTAAGTGCCGCTGCAGCTGCCATATGCCCCAGGAGCCTCTGAAATTGTTTCAGTGGGACCGCCATCCTGCTCTTACCGAGTCCCCACTCCGTACCGAGAAAATATCCTCTGCGTCGGGGAGAGTTTGCTCTTTTCCCAATTGACCCGAAGACCCAACAGTCAGAGGCGCTGGAGCACCAGGTTCCTGTGCTCGCACAACTGAGCTCGAGACTGTGCTAGTATAAGCCCATCATCGAGATAGTTGAGGATGCGGACATTCTGCTCTCTGAGGGGAACAAGAGTCCCCTCCCTGACTTTCGTGAAGACACAGGGAGACAGGAACAGCCCGAAGGGCAGGACCTTGTATTGGTATGTCCGTCCTTCAAACACAAACCGCAGAAATGGTCTGTGGCGTGGAAGGATCGACACATGAAAGAACACGTCCTTCAGGTCGATCGCTGCAAACCAATCTTGGGGGCGGACGAAGATGCGTTTCTGCGTCAACATCTTGAACGGTAACCGGTGAAGGGCCCGGTTCAAGACACGCAGGTCCAAGATTGGTCGTAACCCACCACCTTTCTTGGGTAGAATGAAGTAAGGGCTGTAAAACCCTGTCCTCATATCGGCTGGAGGGACTGGCTCTATCGCATCCTTCGCCAGTAGGACTTGTGATCTCCGCACGCAAGACAGGAGCATCGGCTTCAATGTTGTGAAGCAGATGCTGCTGAACTTGGGGGGACTCCGGGCGAACTGAATCGCATAGCCGAGGCTGATGGTCCGCAGAAGTCAGCGAGATGGGCTGGGTAGCGCTAGCCAGGCACCCAGATACCGTGCAAGCGGGACCAACGGAACCACTGCCGTACCCGCAGTGGGGCAGTGAGGTGGGACCGCAGGGACCGAACTCGGGCAGCTTGTGAGCAGACCAGAGAGGGGTCTGAGTGTACGGTGCAACGCTTACCTGGTTCCACAGGTTGGCAGAGGGTGCGTGAGTAGGGCTTTTGTTGACGCTCTCGAACCGCTTGCTGCTGCCGGCTGACGAAGGAAGAGGATGAGTGAGGTCCTGTGTTGGGCCGTCCGCGACTCTCCGTGCCCTCCTGGGACCCAGAAATAGAGAAAACCGCTCTCTCATCGAGATTTTCCAAATTCTCCACCTGGCCCTCCTCCGGGGGAGGTGCCTTCACCATCCCCCAAAGAGCAGCTTCCTCCCTCTCTGGGTCACCCATCCCGGGGCCTCTTGCTCTTTCGCTCGCCGCCAGGTTTGACAGGGGTCTGGACGGGTGGGGCGGCCTCTCCACGGCGCCGCTTGCTGGAGGCGGATGTGCCGCGGGAGCAGGGGCGGACGCAAGGCGCCACCCTCGGCGACGAGCAGGCTGGGGTGCTGCAGCCGGCGGACGGGTGGAGGCAGCAGCTGCCCACCGGGGCAGGGTGTGACGACCCGCCTCAGTCTGCTTCTGTGCAGCCAAGAGCTGCTGGGCCAATCTCTCGACCACGTCGCCGAAGAGGCCGGTCTGGGTCACAGGGGCATTAAGGAACTGAACTTTGTCGGCGTCCCTCATATCAACCAGACACAGCCAGAGATGGCGCTCCTGGACCACAAGTGTAGACACGCGGTGTAGACACGTAGCGGTTAAGGCGAAGGCAGCTTCTCCACAGGCCGTATAAGCATCACCGGACAGGCCCGACGAGTACCTACAAACCCGGGAGGGGAGGCACGGTTCGCCCTGCCGGGTGGAGGCGGTATTAGGACACAATTGCATCGCAACCGACCGCTCCACCGGGGGGACACTTGTATACCTCCTAGCTGCACCACCGTCGAGGGTGGGGAGGGAGGAGGAACCAGCAGTTCGGTTTCCGGCAGTAAAAGGTGCTGTCCATGACCTGGTGAGCTCCTCATGCACCTCCGGGAAGAAAGGCACTGAGGCAGGGCGCTGAGAACCAGTGCGAGCCACCCCGAGAAACCAATCGTCCAACCTCGAGGGCCCGGGACGCGGTGGAGGTTTCCACTCGAGCCCTACCCTCTCGGCGGCCCGGGAAAGCATAGCCGACATCTCTGGATCCGATTCAGGCCTTGCCACTGTCCCGGAGGGCGGCAGCGCAGCCGAATCTTCTTCTCCAGAGAGCTCTCCCTCCGATGCAGTGATCGACATCCGGTCGTCGGGAGGAGCAGTGAAGGATACCGCTGGTACGCTCTTTAAAGAGGGTCCAGCGCATTCCTTTAGCGGCTCAACTGGTTGCGAAGCACTAGAGGAGCGATGGTCCCCCGAGGGTTGGCTCCCTGAGGGGTTTGCCACCACTGTAACCCTTAGACCACCTGCCGCCAGGACGAACACTAGATCGCGGCAGAGGCAACGGAGCTCCACCCCCCTGGAGGAAACGGAGCCTGGCCCGCAGCTCCGAGATAGTCATCTTCCCGCAATGGGAACATGACTCATCCGCGAACGCCACCTTAGCGTGTTTAATGCCCAGCCACGTGAAGCAGAGATCATGACCATCACCCAGCGCCAGGTAACAACCGCATCCAGAAACGCACGGGTGAAACGGCATCTTTAAAAAGACTATCCGTCGTCTTTACAAAGACGCACCGCTTATTGTACTCTTTTAGAGAAATTGCTCTTTCAGGGTAATGCTATTTTAGTGCTGAGGCGCACAGGGGAAATGGCCACTTGCAGCACAACAGGGGGTAGTGCAGCCTGAAGTGCGCAACCCACTCGACACAGGAACGACCACCGCTGAAGCGCCGTCCGCCAATACCAGAAGCTTCCAAGAGCATGTTGAACTCGTAGCTCACTGAAGACTCTTGGATGGAGCAGAACGATGTTGTCGCTCGGCTCAGAAGCAAAAAGCCTGGTATGCATTGCACCGGCTGACTTTTTATGCTCACGCTATGATCAGCGGCAGCTGGATGCAATAATTGCATGCCAATGTGCATTGGCTCGTTTAGTTACACTTGAAGTAGATTGGTCTCTCGAAGTGAGATCCCAATTCGTCTGTCATGACGTGACTCGTAGTGACCGACTGAAAGGGAACTTGGATTACCTCTCTCCTTCACACTAGATTAATTATATTTATACTAATTTATAAATGATTAGGTAGTTTTATTCTTCTTCATTTTTAATGTTGTCCCTCTTTTTCCACTTTTGTGAAGGTTTGTGAAGTTATTTATTTATACCTGTACTAATAAAAAATGGTGATGAGTAAATGCTCATATAATGTCATATTCCACAGAACTTTATCAGATTAAACTTTGCTCTCACTGAAAAGCTTACATTGTGTAGAAGTCAAAGGTGACCCTAAAAAGGTTACCAAGAAAACTAAACAGTTTTAACCTGTATAAGTTAATGAGTTGTCTCTGGTTTGCTAACAGGTCTGATGTGGTGGTGTTGTGCTTCTCCATTGCAAACCCAAACTCACTCCACCATGTGAGGACGATGTGGTACCCTGAGATCAAGCATTTCTGTCCCAGAGCTCCTGTTATCCTAGTGGGCTGCCAGCTAGACCTGCGGTATGCTGACCTGGAGGCAGTGAACAGAGCTCGCCGGCCACTGGCCAGGTAAATTAAGACAGCAAATGCAACTGTTGGTAGCCATTAATGCTAGAAATGCAACAGTTGTATGTTGTAAACCTGTGTTTCCCAACTCTGTTCCTTGAGGTACCCAACAGTACACATTCTGGATGTTTCCCTGATCTCATCCATTTAAAGTCTTAGAGTCTTTACTAATGATCTAGTAAGTTGATTCAGGCGTGTTCGATTAGATAGAGATTGAAAATGTGTAGTGTTGGGGTGCCCCAAGGAACGGGTTTGGGAACACTGTTAAATCTATGGCTGCATTCCACTTTGTTGTTTTATGCCCTTCCCTTGTTAACTTCTCTCCATCTCATTGACTCGGATGTACGTCGCTGATTGAGTTGCACGAGTGTTCACTACTGGCTGAACCCTTGCAATGGACTGAATTGGAACGTCCTAAACCCTTGATCACTTGGAACCCGATATGAAGTTTTATTATAATAATATATTATTTACATTGTTACTTTACCAATTTGTTTAATGCAGCATTGTATATGTATATAGTTATGCTTGGGGTGTTTTAATTATTAAAAATAATCATTTATATATCATAGAATTATTTGGGGTGGGGGTAAATTACATTTGACATTAAACGCCACAACATTAAAATTAAATGTCACAGTTGTGTTGCACTGTGGTTTATGGAATTGTCTAAAGTGTACATAGGAAGTAGACTTGCTCCCTCGGTCAAAATCGAGGGTCTGTCAATATAAACTTCCTTCATCCACTTCACAAAGTGGAACACACTTCAAAATGACAGTGGGCTTCTTCCAAGGGGAAGTGCTTAGGGAAGTTCACAAGTTTGTGTCTAAAGGCGAAGTGGAATGCATCCTATGTCAAAGTATGTAACAATATTTTAAAACAGTAAAATAATTACAATTCTGTGTATACTCACACTCATGTTGTTCTGAACTTTTGTGATGTATCTTGTTAAATGACAGCATGAATGAAATTTGAGAGCAGTGGTGGAGGTGAAGATTTTCAGTGATTAATGACTTACATTTTAGTTTGTTCCTCATAAAGCTGCTATCATGTAACTTCATAATATTGTGCATGAGATTTATAATTTTTGCTATTTTAATGATGCTATCTTGTAATATTTGAAGCTCAACTGCACTTACTGTATGCCAGGGGTGTCTAATCCTGCTCTTTCATGGAGGGCCACTATGCTGAGTTTAGCTTAGGCAGTTGACTTGTTGCCTCTCTGCCCTTTCAAGCAATGACTTTGCAGGTATCATTTGTGCATGAAGGTATCTCCCAGAACTGATTTCAGACAGGCTTCAAGTCTAATGATCTACAATAAAATATATAAAGCTTTGGTCACAACTAAGTTAATATTTAATTAATACAATATATATTTTTATCTAGAAATGAAATCAAAAGTTGAAACAATTGTTCACAAACATACATCTGCAAACAAACTGGGCTCAACTGTCATGGAATTGATGCTTCGCAGGGAGTTTGATTGACAGGCGATCTGACCAATCATAATGCCGAAGCTGCCTTTTTTTGTCTGAAAAACAAACCAGACAGGAGAGTAGATTAACGTTGGTGAACTTGAACTTGAAAAATGTTGTTTTGACGTCTTTCCATGGTTGAAACAAGATACCTTCTGATGTTCATTCATGTTTATTTCGTGCTTAGTAAACTAGTAAAGAGGAAGACATGATCGGTTGACGTGCCGTTTGAACTGAGGTGCTACAGCTATCTGTCACAACACATTAAAGAGTCACAAAACGGTATTTATTAAACCCAAACTCACTCCACCATGTGAGGACGATGTGGTACCCTGAGATCAAGCATTTCTGTCCCAGAGCTCCTGTTATCCTAGTGGGCTGCCAGCTAGACCTGCGGTATGCTGACCTGGAGGCAGTGAACAGAGCTCGCCGGCCACTGGCCAGGTAAATTAAGACAGCAAATGCAACTGTTGGTAGCCATTAATGCTAGAAATGCAACAGTTGTATGTTGTAAACCTGTGTTTCCCAACTCTGTTCCTTGAGGTACCCAACAGTACACATTCTGGATGTTTCCCTGATCTCATCCATTTAAAGTCTTAGAGTCTTTACTAATGATCTAGTAAGTTGATTCAGGCGTGTTCGATTAGATAGAGATTGAAAATGTGTAGTGTTGGGGTGCCCCAAGGAACGGGTTTGGGAACACTGTTAAATCTATGGCTGCATTCCACTTTGTTGTTTTATGCCCTTCCCTTGTTAACTTCTCTCCATCTCATTGACTCGGATGTACGTCGCTGATTGAGTTGCACGAGTGTTCACTACTGGCTGAACCCTTGCAATGGACTGAATTGGAACGTCCTAAACCCTTGATCACTTGGAACCCGATATGAAGTTTTATTATAATAATATATTATTTACATTGTTACTTTACCAATTTGTTTAATGCAGCATTGTATATGTATATAGTTATGCTTGGGGTGTTTTAATTATTAAAAATAATCATTTATATATCATAGAATTATTTGGGGTGGGGGTAAATTACATTTGACATTAAACGCCACAACATTAAAATTAAATGTCACAGTTGTGTTGCACTGTGGTTTATGGAATTGTCTAAAGTGTACATAGGAAGTAGACTTGCTCCCTCGGTCAAAATCGAGGGTCTGTCAATATAAACTTCCTTCATCCACTTCACAAAGTGGAACACACTTCAAAATGACAGTGGGCTTCTTCCAAGGGGAAGTGCTTAGGGAAGTTCACAAGTTTGTGTCTAAAGGCGAAGTGGAATGCATCCTATGTCAAAGTCTGTAACAATATTTTAAAACAGTAAAATAATTACAATTCTGTGTATACTCACACTCATGTTGTTCTGAACTTTTGTGATGTATCTTGTTAAATGACAGCATGAATGAAATTTGAGAGCAGTGGTGGAGGTGAAGATTTTCAGTGATTAATGACTTACATTTTAGTTTGTTCCTCATAAAGCTGCTATCATGTAACTTCATAATATTGTGCATGAGATTTATAATTTTTGCTATTTTAATGATGCTATCTTGTAATATTTGAAGCTCAACTGCACTTACTGTATGCCAGGGGTGTCTAATCCTGCTCTTTCATGGAGGGCCACTATGCTGAGTTTAGCTTAGGCAGTTGACTTGTTGCCTCTCTGCCCTTTCAAGCAATGACTTTGCAGGTATCATTTGTGCATGAAGGTATCTCCCAGAACTGATTTCAGACAGGCTTCAAGTCTAATGATCTACAATAAAATATATAAAGCTTTGGTCACAACTAAGTTAATATTTAATTAATACAATATATATTTTTATCTAGAAATGAAATCAAAAGTTGAAACAATTGTTCACAAACATACATCTGCAAACAAACTGGGCTCAACTGTCATGGAATTGATGCTTCGCAGGGAGTTTGATTGACAGGCGATCTGACCAATCATAATGCCGAAGCTGCCTTTTTTGTCTGAAAAACAAGCCAGACAGGAGAGTAGATTAACGTTGGTGAACTTGAACTTGAAAAATGTTGTTTTGACGTCTTTCCATGGTTGAAACAAGATACCTTCTGATGTTCATTCATGTTTATTTCGTGCTTAGTAAACTAGTAAAGAGGAAGACATGATCGGTTGACGTGCCGTTTGAACTGAGGTGCTACAGCTATCTGTCACAACACATTAAAGAGTCACAAAACGGTATTTATTGTTTGAATTAAAAAAAAAAAAAAAACGTAAACAATATTTGAAAGCTGAGATTTAGTTTCATACCAAAAGTAACCTGCTCTTTCTTGTCTTTTCTCTTTGCTCCGCAATGTACTTTTACTGCATGAGAACATGGTGTGTGGCTTGTGAGCGCCATGGCTTGTCGGACATACAGTAGCAACAGTAATGAAGGGGGGGGGGTCTTTGCAAAGGGTCAATTGAACACACAGAATTGTGGAATATCATAGGCAGGAAAGGATACATATATGCTGCCTTCAAAAATCAATGAGATGAAGGTATCTCAGTAGACAGGATGTAACACTATAATAGGATTCGGACGTGCCTTCTTGCCTTCCTACCTCAAGATGCGCAGACAGCATTTTCAGCTTTCAGATGCAGCAATTAGATACTTCCAGGCAGGTTTGTTGAATATGGTTAAAGCTAAACTATGCAGGACATAGGCCCTCAAGGAGCAGGATTGGACACCCCTGACCCATACCCATTCACTTTCCTTGTGTGGTAAGTCTTTTGGTTTTGAACGTTGGGAACATCATGAGGGTGAGTAAATGATGACTGATAAAGATTTTCATTTTGAGGAAAGCTAGTTCTTTAGTATAATGCTGTTTTTTTGTTTCAGACCCATTAAATCCAATGAGATATTGGCGCCAGAGAAAGGCCGTGAGGTGGCTAAAGAACTAGGCGTCCCTTATTATGAGACCAGCATAGTTGCTCAGTTCGGGGTTAAGGACGTTTTCGACAATGCTATCCGAGCAGCCCTCATTTCCCGTCGTCATCTCCAATTCTGGAAGTCACATTTACGAAATGTTCAAAGGCCACTCCTCCAAGCCCCCTTCCTTCCCCCAAAACCCCCTCCACCCATTATCACCGTTCCCGCCCCTCCCAGTAATATCGAAGAGCACGCTAGTCGGCTGTTGGAGGACCCGCTCTGCGCAGACGTCATCTTAGTCCTCCAGGAATGCCAGAGGATCTTCGCCCATCGCATCTACCTTGCCACATCCTCCTCCAAGTTCTACGACCTCTTCTTGACCGAACCTCGGGGTCCTGAGGAGATCGAACGAGAGCGAGAACGACCCAGAGGGCCACCGTTTTCTGGCCGTGATTTGCTGATGCGCGCAGCTAGTTTTGACGTTTGTGAAAGTAGTGACGATGGAGATAGAGCAAACTTGCGTGCCTGCACCAGTGATGGAACTCTAAAAGGCGACGGAGATCGTCGCGGTCGTCTGCTCCCAGCCTTGAGTCGTGCTTTCATTAGCATCCAAGAAGAAATGGTGGATGACCCCGTCACCTTCAACCCTAGAAAAATGACCGTTGTTCACATGGACCCTTCAATGCAGCCCGGTCCATTTCGATCGGTGTTGCGGTACCTGTATACAGGTAAACTAGATGAGCGGGAGAAGGAGCTAATGCAGGTGGCCCACATCGCAGAGCTGCTGGAAGTGTTTGACCTGCGTATGATGGTGGCTAATATCCTGAACGATGAGGCCTTCATGAATCAGGAGATCACCAAGGCCTTTCATGTGAGACGCACCAATCGAGTGAAAGAATGTCTGGCCAAAGGGACCTTCTCTGGTGAGAGGCATGTGAACTGTATGTTTGCTTGGTACTGTAGTTATTAGGGATGGGCCAGAATGATAGTAAAGTCATCCAAAAAGCAACTACAGTAGTTGGTTAATGAGGTGGGCTTTTATCTAATTTGCTTTTATGACTGCTTTTACATGAAATCTTCGAGAGTACATTTCAAGACTTGTTGACCAAATGGAATTGCTCTGAAATTGGTGAGAAGGTTAGAGGCCATTATTTCAACCAAACAGCTATTCAGAATATCAAAATGAAATGTTGGCATTCAAAATGTTACATAAAAGAAGTCAAATGCATTATAAACCTAGTTAGATTACATGCTTTCACACTATTTTTCTAGGTAGTGTTCTGTCAGCGATATAAAAATATTTAACAATTTTCATTTATATGCCGCAAAATGACATATCTTCTCCAAAACCTTCTGTATATGGAAAATGGGAGTACAAATTTTAAGCAATGTCACACAGAGATCTCACAAACATTTTTGGGTGATCTTGAGTGATCGTTTAACCATGGTTTTGAAATAAGTAATTGAAATGGATAGTTTAAAGTAAGAATCAAACACTTAAGGAAATAACTCCTTAGGAAACGTAACCCTCTGGGGTCTGAGGGTGTTTTGGGGCCCTGGAGAAATTTTGACATGCCCTGACATTTGTGCTTTTTTCAGTTGCTTATAAACATATTAATGGTTAAAGTTTAATAACTGGACAAACTGTATTCAGGACAAACTGGGCTACAATAATTAAAAAAGCATTAAAATGCCCCTATTATGCCATTTTTAAGGTTCCTGATATTATTTTGGGAGTTTTCTACAATACGTTTACATGCATGCAAGGTAAAAACTATTTTGTTTTCTCAAAATATGCATTTAATATCACCTCTTTTTCTAACGATTCTCAAACTATTCATTCAAAGCAGTTCTAAGATTCCTACTCTGCTCTGATTGGTCAGACAGCCCAGTCTGTTGTGATTGGTCTACCACGTAAATCGTGTGTCGGAAACGATATGCCCATTGCCAAAGCTCCATATTTTGAACACTCAATAGAAAACATGAACATCTATTATTCATCATACTTACAGTTTGAGATTTATTGGAGCCAGCTGGTCCAAATAAACTGGGTACTGGGCCATCTTTCAAAAGCAAGCGTTTTGTGAATCCTGTGTTGAACTCCCAGAGATTAGAGAAGCAGTCGTCAATAAAATGACGGTAACACAGATTAGGGTTGTACTGCTGTAGTACAGTGGGAAAAATGAATTTTAACCACTGATTCTTTACACCCTCATCTTTCGGAAGTGAAAATAAAACAAATTTACTTTCACAGCATAGGATACAGCATCTTCTCGACATGATGTTAAACACACAAACCAGCTACAGTGTTTGAGCGTGGGTCAACGTAGAACAATGCAATTGTGTTACCACGTCACGGAAGTGGGTTTGGAATTACTGACGACTCGTTTAGGCTGTTCAGAGTCGATTCTTTCTTTTGGGAGTCAGTTTTATTTATCGTGCACCTTTACAACTTTGGCAGATTGTTTACATTCCTGTACAGCTACATTACAGAATGCATGAAAGGCAATATTCAAAATGGCATAATAGGAGCACTTTAAAATTTCGCAATATTCATGATGCAGCAAAATTATCACAAATGTATAATGAACATTCAATATATCACCCAGTCTTAAAAAATATGTAGGTCTCTGTTTGTTTTTGAGAACTGTGATTAGCATTGTGCATTATGTTAGCATTTTTACTATAATGGAGGACAGTTTTAACATCCTTGTTACTGCGCTGCCTCCCATCCAGGAGACGCCTGTTTAAATCCCGCTTGGAGTGCCTTGAGTAGAACGGGAAGGGTTACATTGGTGCCGTGACCCTGATGGGAATGAAGTTTAGGGGGGTAAATGTAACGGAATTTAGCGTGCTTGTTAGATCACACGCCTCCCATTCCTGAGATGTCGGTTTAAATCCCAACTGGAATGGTACAAATAGCACTTACCTTATTTATTTGTTGTATATGTGTCAGTTACACTAACTTCGCATAGCATTCCCTGTTGAAAAAACCAGCATATGCTGGTTAGGTATGTTTTGAAGCATGGTTGGTTTAAGCTGGTTCTTAGCTGGTCATGTGCTGGTCCTAAGCAATTAGCTCCTGCTCAGTACCAGCACATGACCAGCTTAAACCAGCTCAAACCAGCAGCCATGCTTCAAAACATACCTAACCAGCATATGCTGGATTTTTCAACAGGATTCAGACAACCAATGGGACTCATTTTGCAGTCCTTTCGCCCTTTTCCAAATGTAATGGAATTTAGCGTGCTTGTTAGATCACACGCCTCCCATTCCTGAGATGTCGGTTTAAATCCTAACTGGAATGGTACAAATAGCACTTACCTTATTTATTTGTTGTATATGTGTCAGTTACACTAACTTCGCATAGCATTCCCTGTTGAAAAAACCAGCATATGCTGGATTTTTCAACAGGATTCAGACAACCAATGGGACTCATTTTGCAGTCCTTTCGCCCTTTTCCTGTAAATGTCCCTATTTGTCACCCCAACCTTTCTGTGCTGTGTAGAATAATACTGTCAGCTGTATATTAAAATGCAAACTTTTTGATATCTGCACACGTTGGGCGTACAGTGCACATTCTAGCAGAAGGTCGCCCAGCATTGTCTATAACCAAAGCACATTTTTCTCAAATGTGAGATGAGCTTCCCTGTTGAAAAAACCAGCATATGCTGGTTAGGTATGTTTTGAAGCATGGTTGGTTTAAGCTGGTTCTTAGCTGGCCATGTGCTGGTCCTAAGCAATTAGCTCCTGCTCAGGACCAGCACATGACCAGCTTAAACCAGCTCAAACCAGCAGCCATGCTTCAAAACATACCTAACCAGCATATGCTGGATTTTTCAACAGGATTCAGACAACCAATGGGACTCATTTTGCAGTCCTTTCGCCCTTTTCCTGTAAATGTCCCTATTTGCCACCCCAACCTTTCTGTGCTGTGTAGAATAATACTGTCAGCTGTATATTAAAAAGCAAACTTTTTGATATCTGCACACGTTGGGCGTACAGTGCACATTCTAGCAGAAGGTCGCCCAGCATTGTCTATAACCAAAGCACATTTTTTTCAAATGTGAGATGAGCTCCAGCAGAATGCCCCTTCAAGCTATTTTCCTCTCTACTTCAGCTCAATTATTCACCCCCAGAGAAAAAAACAAGCCCCCATATTTTGTCAGCTGGATTTCGGTTTCATAATCAGTGCTCTTCTGGTAGAGAGAACCGGTGCGGATGTATCGTGTTTTTCAGCACTCTCAGGATTTGGAGGACATCAAGCTGTCTTGCAATGCTGACCGAGCTTTTCCCTCTCCAAACATAAACACTGAGCATTTCTATTTATTTATCCTTCACTCTAGCACTATGATTGTGCTTTAGTGGAATGTAATGTCAAGCCACTGTCACAGAGTGCCTTTTAAGTTGTCAAGATGATCACTTCATTTCAGCATCGGATTCGCTATGTACTGGATGTTGATTTACCAGAGAGTAGAGTATGTTTATATGGCATGTTATACAACGTATTATTATAATAGTGATTTGAAAAGCTACAGAAGTCTGTCTGTTCTTTCCTGCAGATGTGGTGTTCAGGTTGGATGATGGCACCATCATGGCCCATAAACCACTGCTTATCTCAAGCTGTGATTGGATGGCAGCCATGTTTGGTGGACCATTTGTGGAGAGTTGTACAAAAGAGGTACAGTGCGCTCACAATATGTCTAAACCAGTACCACTGGGAACACTGAGATTTTAAAGATGATATTTGTGGTGTGTATTTTAATGGTTACACTGTGTACAATTTCACAGTTTGTCTAACATGAACTAATGTAGTTTTTGACAGGAACCTGATGAACATCTGTGATTTTTATGTATTCAAATTGGAAAGAATAGAAGGAGATAAATAACTAAGCGGGAGTTTTAATTTTGTAATATCTGGAGCAAATAGAGATGATAGGACATTTGTGACACAAGTGATGATGTTGAACCAGGGTTATAATAATTAACTAAAACTAAAGCAATAATAAACCTGAAAATAAAATTAAAATAAACCCTAAAACTTATTTTATTTGAGCTTGATGCCAAGGTAACATTTCTCATTTTCGTTTAGTTTAGCTTGATACTAAAATGATACTAAAATAAAACTAAAAATAAATAAATACAAATAACAAAACACACGATAAAATTAACTAACCAAAATTAAAATTAAAATAGAAAATAAGACTAAAAATAAAAAATAAGAATAAAATATTTTTTTATTAAAAATTATAATAGTATTTCAGTGATACTAAAATTATACTGTGTTGAACAATCTATTGCCTTTTATTCTTAGAATGAAGTAACATTATTTTTGAGAGACAAATAGAAAATTCCTCTTAACATCTGGTCTTGATCTAGTTTTAACCCTTCATTTCTAATGCTATATCTAGAACTTTTAGGATTTAAAAAAATCAAACAAAGGAAAATAATGAAGTAAAATAAATACTGTATATTTCAGATTTTGCACAATTTCTAGGGCACTAACCAAATAAGTAGTTTTGTGACGTGATGGTCAGATATTCTTGCTTCCAATGAAGCACAAGATGCTCTTTAGATCATGGTGAAAAATTTAAACATGGGTTTTATATTTAACTTGTGGATTTCATGCTGCTTGATTTCTGCTGTCAAGTAGGACAAAACAAATACTTAGACTGAAAACATGGAGTGCTTATGCAATACTTTTGGACCCCATTGTATGTCAGAATGTTAACATAAGCTTAAAGCTGAACTTTACTAATGAAGACAGCATACTCTAATCATACTGTTCTTTAACACTGAGTTCTTATTCCCCTGAAAAAGCCTCTTTGAGTTTGTTGCTGTGTCTTGTCAGGTGCTGTTTCCTAACACTACGCGGAGCTGCATGCGTGCTGTGCTGGAGTATCTCTATGCTGGCTGCTTCTGCTCTCGCCCAGATCTGGATGCCATGGAACTCATTGTTCTTGCAAACCGTCTCTGTCTGCCTCACCTGGTAGCGCTGACAGGTACACAAACAAACCTGAGACGATGATGCACATAACAGTCTGATCTCCGTAGGCAACCAAATCCTGTGTAAATTTAGACCTTTAACTAGAGTTGAGGAGTGAGACAGTGACTGAAAATAACAGTGTGTCCTTTTGTACTGAAATATAATGCAAGTCACTTCAGATGGCAAATTGCAGTGATTTTTACCATGCTTAAAGGGTTAGTTCACCCAAAAATGAAGGTTAGCCCATGATTTACTCACCCTCAAGGCGTCCTAGGTGCATATGACTTTCTTCTTTCAGACGAATCCAGTCGGAGTTATATTAAAAATTGTCTTTGATCTTCCAAGCTGTTTAATGGCAGTCAGCGGGTGTTGCAGTTCATCAGTCCAAAAGAAGTGAAATAAAGTGCATCCATCCATAATAAAAAAGTGCCTCACACGGCTGCGGGGGGTGAACAAAGGCCTCCTGTAGTGAATCGATGCATTTTTGTAAGAAAAATAACCATATTTAAAACGTAATAATCAATTTAATCTAGCTTGAGCTCACTGTTGCACACGGAAGCAGCTCCGGGCGGATTACGTAGGAAGTCGGCGCTGTGCATGCGCCGCTCAGAAGTGACGCATGCGGAAGCGAAGGGGAAAAACAACGGTTTTGATTTGTTTTTGATCAAAACAAAACAACGGTCACTTATTAGAAGTACAAATTGAGTATTTGTAAAGAAGAATGTCGGAGGATTTCGATATAAGCCAAGAGGAGACTGATTTTCCTTTGCTAAAGTAAGGAAACTTTGCTTCTGTAAACAAACGTTGGTTTTCACGAGACTCACCGGCGCATGCGCAACGCTGACCTCATACGGCATCCGCTCGGAGCTGCTTCCGTGTACAACTGTTGGCGCAAGCTAGATTAAAGTGATTATTACGTTTTGAATAGGGATATTTTTCTTACAAAAACGCACAGATTCGCTACAGGACGCCTTTGTTCACCCACCAGAGCCGTGTGAGACACTTTTTATTATGGATGGATGCCCTTTATTTCACTTCTTTTGGACTGATGCATGCAACACCCACTGACTGCCCTTAAACAGCTTAGAAGATCAAAGACAATTTTTAATATAACTCCGATTGGATTCATCTGAAAGAAGGAAGTCATATACGCCTAGGATGGCTTGAGGGTGAGTAAATAATGGGTTAATTTTCATTTTTGCGTGAACTAACCCTTTAAGGGGTGTTTTTGGCATGATGTGAAGCTAATTTGGGCATGGACTGGCTTTCCTCTATGGCCTAGCTGTAACATATATGCATCTAGCCTACATTTGCCATACATTGCATTCAAAGTACACATTTTATTAAGTTCTTGCATTTTAACAGAACTCGGTCAAAGCCGCTTTTAATATGCAAGTGGACCTGGCAACACTGGCATCCAGAGACAGCATGATTCACTCCTCTGCTGCAGATCAAGCGATCACTATGAAAAATGTTTAAGGACTAACTGTCGCTTTGGATAAAAGTGCCCGCCAAATTCAAAAATATAAAGATTTGATGGTAACATTTTGTAATAAAGTCCCATTAATTAACAGTAGTTATGCATTAAGCAGCATTTAACTAACAATGAGCAATTCATTTGTTACAGTGTTTATTAATATTTGTTAATGTTATTTAATAATGCAAATCTGCAGGCACTAATTTAATCCCTTAAAACTCATATGTGATATTCTGTATAACATAGTGTACAAAACCCTGTTTCCCTGTGAAAATAATTTATTAATGCCTCAAATGGCTTGAATATGCAAATGAATCCCCGTCTCCACTCACATGTAAAAGTAAAAGCTAAACACTACACAATACAATGTAATCTGCATATACCCATACCAAAAATGTGAATTTTGAAGCAGTTTTGTTTATTTTTGAAAGCCTGTGTTTCTAATAAGTAACCTTACAAGAACCTTGGGATGTCAGTGTCTGCACACACATAATTGGATAAACCCCATTATAACACCCCATAGAAAAATCTTGAAGAAACCACTGGTCAATTAGTCTTTCAGGTTTCAAACTGCGTTTTTAAGACTTTTTTTGGTTTACTGCAAAGAGAAAATGCTCAGCCATGGTGTTGACTGATGAATTTGCACATGGTTTGTCTTTAAACATTAAAACGCCAGACAGACATGCAAACAACGCTAAACACTTGATTTTCACCACACGGGGTCTTTATCTAATGTTAACAAATGGAACCTTATTGTAAAGTGCTGCGGAGTCATTTATTAACAAAGAATACAAACCAAAAATAATGGTGACTTATTATGTTGTTTTTATGAGTGTTGTGTGTCTGTCCTAGAGCTGTACACTGTGAAGGTACTGACAGAAGCTGCCATGATGGGAGCTGATATAGATGGAGATGTTCTGCTCTATCTGGACATGGCCCAGGTAAGCGTACCATTGACAGACAGAATGAACATGTACCTGTCTGTCTGTCTGCCTGTTTTTAACATATAAAGCATTTTGATTTATTTAGGTTTGGGATTGTTCTTGTTTGCTGTTTTTTCTTGCAGGATCTGGCAACACAAATGAGTCAAACTTGTACTTTTTGCCTGTGTTTTCTTGCACTGCTCATACAGAAGAGAGACACAACTCTAATACACGTTTAAATACGTCAGTAACAACTAGTTGTTCAGTTGTACACACTGCGTGGAATTTCTGTAAATACATTTGTTACTACCTAAATGTTTCAGGAATATTCAGCTGTAGAATGCGGTTGTCACTCAGTAAAATACTGAAATGTGTGTGTACACAACAGGATTAAGAACTAAAAGGTGAATTGACAACTGCATTTAGTTGCAGTGTGTACATGGCTGAAGTGATATGAATAAAGAGTCTCTGTTTTAGGAGTGGTTAGGAACCAAATAGACTAGTTGTTTAGAGGTCTAGGAGGGGACTCAAAGCATCTGATTTTCTCCATAGAGTTTTCTTCTCTGTGATTGTTCCCTTTAGTTCCACTGTGCTCATCAGTTGACTGACTGGTGCCTCCATCACATCTGCACCAACTACAACAGAGTCTGTCGCAAATTCCCTCGAGACATGAAGGCCAAATCTACAGGTAATTCAACAGCCCCTCAGATCAGTATAAATGCCAATTTTTCAAGAATTATTTTAACTTCAAAATGAATATTGAGACATGACAGTCTGAAAAAATGAGACCCCTGTCATGCTCAATTGTTCAGATGTTTTCATTAGCCAACTTTTTCTGCTACAGACTTTTGTAATGAGACAAATTCTTAATCTAAATAAGTTGCGTTGGTCATAGAAACTGATAGAAATCATCATGTTTATTGTATTATTAATCTATTCTATCTACTTGTTTTGATTTATCATAAAAAAACTTGACCCTCTATCACTAGCGTTCTCTATTCTTTTTAATTATTATAAAAAAAATAAAACTAGCTTAGTTTGGGTGTGTGTGTGTGTGTGTTCGTTTGGCCATTTACAGCTCGTTGTAGAATGTGTTTGAACTCAGATTGCAGGATGCCCGTGGGGGCTGGTTCTAATCTTCTTTGACGGCGAAGAACCATTTGGCAATTTAAAACCCCTATACAACGTAACATCTCTGACCAGAACTGTAATTTATATGCAAATGTCAAAAGGCTAAAAGGGTCTTTTAAGCCATAAACAGTCCAACGCACATGCATGATCCTACGCAGACGCTACATCTATCTATTGGATATCTATCTCTGTCTAAAAAGAAAAAGCAAAGGAAAAACCTTGCTACGTGTACTGCGTTAGACTAACTGGGATTTGTCACAGCACTTATATATTTTTGTTGGTTTGATTGCTTACATTGTCATTATTTGATGCTGTCTGTGAAATTGTTAAATGTATTATACTGCATATATGTTCTTTAATATTAAAACTAGGTAAATGGACTTGGAGCAACATGATAATGAGTAAATAATGGATTTTTATGAACTCTTCATTTAATTCAAGATATATTCTCTGAATATATTCTTAATATTGAACACAATTTCTATATTTAATAATTTAATTTATCCTGTATACACAACCATTCAAAAGGTCTGGGTCCGTAAGATTTTTATTTTTTTTAATTAAAATTTTTGTAAAAAAGGATCAAACGTGAATAAATAATAATACAAAAAACCTGCTGAAAATTGAGCTTTACCATTATAGGATTACATTTTATGTTAAAATAAACTAAAAAAAAAAAAGAGTCATTTTAAATTGTAATAATATTTCACAGTGTTTTTATTGTATTTTTGATCAAACAAAGCATACTGACTGATTAGTTTATAATACATTTATTTTGTTTTAGGGATGTTTGGCTATTTTTCCTAGAAAGCAAAGCAAAAAATATGAATACTGAATACTGAGAATTTTATTTTTTTCAGTGTGACAGGCGTCCCTAACCAAACAGTTATCGCAGTACTGAAATTAATTTGGCATTAAGCTGGTATCACGGTCTCATTCTGCCTTGCAGATAACCTGGAGCACTTTGAGAAACATCGCTGGCCTCCAGTGTGGTATCTAAAGGAAGAAGATCACTATCAGCGGGCTCGCAAGGAGCGTGAGAAGGAAGATTACCTGTACCAAAAGCGTCAGTGTAAACGCAAGTGGCTCTTCTGGAATCTACCGTCCTCCAATTCTCCGTCTTCTGGTTCTTCTGCAGTCATCTGATCGGCTCTCAGGGTGCATGACCCACCTAACAGCCATAAATGTGGGATATAAAAACAAGGAATGATAACCTTTTTCAACTCTATAAGATGACCTATTCACATTTTCTGTTGAGCAAAATGCCCAAGCCCTGCTTTTAGCTGCTGAAGAACAAGCAAAAATGAAACAGGACAGGAACACAAGGCTTTGACTAAAAGCACACTGCTGAGTCTTTCTACTGGTTGGATTTTTCATCAAATCAAATCAGCTTTGACATCCTCCTGTGACATCATATCCTGCGGTATTAGAGCGCTGCACAGTTTGCTGTTAACAGACAATCTTTGCTCAGCATCGGTTCCCCAAACATAACCATATCTTCATCTGTATAGAAACATGCATGGCAGGACTGCACATATTCATAACTTGAAATGCTAATAAGTGCTTTTCAGCTCTAAAGGACAAGAACACCGGAACGTTTTAGAGCAACCAGCAAATATAATCTACAATCAAACCACTTCAACAGACCGATGTTCTCAAGATTCAAATGGTGTCCACCGTTCAACATCTAAAGGTATTATTAATTTAAAAATTGATGGTTCGTGGAGTGCCACAAGTGGACGTGACTCCACAGAAGCGCATCAGTCCATAGCCATGTTGTAGGTTGAATGTGAGTTAAGCTCCGTTGACAGCATCTGGAATAACGTTGATTACCACAGAAAATGATAATCATTGGTACTTTAAGGCATTTACAATGGAAAAACACAGGGCCAGGAAATAGACATTAAAAATGCATACTGTACAGACAAAGTACAAGACTTAAAGTTGCAGTGAAGTAGCGACTTTTCTTCTGAATTGAGACGCACATCTGAATGAAATGGATTATCGAGAAAAAAAAAGTAGGGCAGGGTCTTGGTTCTAGGCATTGGCTGGATGGAGGCAGATATTCATGATGTTGTTGCAGCAGTAAATCTGACACTGCAATAAAAAGATAGACAGACAGGCAGGCAGGCAGGCAGGCAGACAGACAGACAGACAGACAGACAGACAGATAGATAGATAGATAGATAGATAGATAGATAGATAGATAGATAGATAGATAGATAGATAGATAGATAGATAGATAGATAGATAGATAGATAGATAGATAGATAGATAGATAGAGAGATAGATAGCCAGACACTCAGACAGACAGATACTCAGACTGACTGACAGACAGACAGATAGCCAGACAGACAGACAGTTACTCAGACGGACGGACGGATAGACAGATGATAGATAGATAGATAGATAGATAGATAGATAGATAGATAGATAGATAGATAGA